AGGGCCTCAGGCATGCAAGGCAAGTGCTCTACCACTGAGCCACCTTCCCAGCCCCTTGACTTTTCTTTTTATAACATCAATATACTTTGTACCAGAAAGAAAGACTTCAGGCTTTGATGAAGATATGGAAGTTAAACCAAGAGATACTATGAAGATAAATAAAGTGGGAAATGAGGAAATTTTTATAAAGTATTATCAAATAAAACTAAGTAAGGAAAAATACTACTTGAAAGTGAAGTTAAGTTTAGATTTAGAAGATTCAGTTTAGTTTTAAATTTTCCTTTGTGACTGAAAAGACTTATTTATTCTTAAGTTGCAAAAGGACAAACTATAAACTTGTTTAAAAGTGGAGGGAGCGAGCATGAGAAAAAGGGATTTCTGTCTGTATAAGTAAAAATAAACTGGTACTTCTGTGGGTAAAACAACTCTAAATCCATGCAACTGAAGACACAATTTATTTGAACCACTGGAGAAAGATATTCTTATGCCTTCCACTTCTGCAAAGTCACTATCTCATTTGGCAGCCAATTATTAAACCCTTTTTGCATATTGATATCTTACTTAAAGTTGTGAAGAACAGAAATATGAGTAAGACATAGTAGTAGTCTCTGATCTCAGAACTTCTAAGGAAAGATTTACTTTCACAGAATCACTTGCTTCACCTTCCATAACTTATCAAAGCTTGATATCTTTCTATTCAGTTTCAATTACCTTTCCAGGAGATCCACCCTCTGGTTTATTTTCTTAACCTGAAAACCTGAGTCCTTTGCTACTTCAAGACATTGCCCAACATCAGCTTAAAAGCACTGACTCTGATGGTGATTTGTTAACTCCCTCTTTGATTTATAATTGTGGAAAAAAGCCAGCAGAGCGCTTTAGCATAAAAGGTGGATGGACCATCATATGCTTCCATCAGGCCAGGTGTGTGCTGCGATGAGAAGTAAGATTACAGGAATGGGAGAGGCCCACACTCTAATAGATAAAGGTCTAAGAAAAGAGAAAAGTGCAGGACTCCCCAGGGCCTCTCTAAATACACTCTCCTTTGGTTTCCTTGCTTCATTGCTGAGTAAATCTGCTTGAAGTGTTTTCTCCCGAAAATACATAACTATATCTGAAATTCGAGATAGTAAAAAAAAGTACCCTATTACCATTGTTAAAGAGTTTACTACAAGGACAGTCCTCTCATTGAACTGTACCCTTTCTTTGCTTTTCCGCTAAGATGCTGATGCACATAAGAGCCTTACCTTCCAGAATTCTATCAAATTTAAAGTATAAAATTTTCAACATTAAGGACTATGACTACAAAAACCAAGCACCCTACTGTTCTAAAATTATAGGCAACTTAAGCATTCTCTACCTACAGATGCAGAGTTCATATTTAGAGATAAATTCTTAGCCTTTTAAAAAATTCAAAGTAAGAATATAAAGGAATTTCATGGAATAAAATGCATAATTGCATAAAAGTTTAACAGATTGAATGTCCTTAAACTGAAAATCTGAAATGCTCTAAAAGTCTAAAATTTCTTGAGCACCCATGTGTTGCCCAAAGTGGAAAATTCCATGCCTGGTACATGAAATGGGCCACAGCTAAAACAGAGCACACCAACAATATTGACTAAAACTTCCTGTGTATGTAGGTGTATATGAACCCAATGTGGTGGCAAATGTTTATAATCCAAACTATTCAGGAGGCAGACACAGGAGAATTACAGTTTGAGGGCAAGCATGGCAAAAGTTAGTGAAATTTTATTATTTCATAAACAACCCTATTGTGATGCTACCTACCCTGCTCTGCACTACTCAGAAAGAAGAGGTAGGAAGAATTTCATTCAAGGCCAGCCCAGGAAAAGTTAATGCAAAATTCTGATAAACAAGTGAAAAGTAAAAAGACTGGGGCATTGCTCAGGCAGTAAAGCACTTGGCTAGAAAGTGTGAGACTCTGATGCTGCAAAAATAAATAAATAAGTACATACATACATATGTACATACATACCCATGTGAGTCCTGGCCCAAAGATAGCTCATTATGTATTTACAAATATTCCAAAGTATAGTACTTCCCCAAGCATTTTGAAGAAGAGATACTTGACTATTTTTTAAAATGATCACTAAGTGGAGAAGATTCAGTTATCTTTAATCGTATGTTAATGAAAGTACACTTTTCTTATAGATGCAGTGCTTCTGATAGTTATGACACATATTCAGACTTTGTGCATGTTGCTCCTGTGTGTGTGTGTGTGTGTGTGTGTGTGTGTGTGTGTGTGTTGGTTCTGGAACTTGAACTCAGGGCCTGGGCACTGTCCTTGAGCTTTTTTCTCAGGGCTAACACTCTACCACTTGAGCCATACCTCCACTTCTTGCTTGTTGGTGATTAAATGGAGATAAGTCTCAGGAACTTCCTGCCCTGGCTGACTTCAAATCATGATCCTCAGATCTCAGTCTCCTGAGTGAGCTAGGATTATAGTCATGAGCCACCAGCACCAGCAATTTTTAAAGTCAAAATTTAAAGTCACCAAGTTTTTGGCTAGAAGTATGGCTCAATGATAGAGTACCTTGCCTAGTAAACATGAGGCCCTGAGTGCAAATCCCAGTACCACCCTCCCATCAAACAAAAACAAAAATAAAAACAAAACAACTTAGAGTTCAGTCTTATATATTTTATCCTATAAGACAATAACTATAATTCACTATTTAGTAACTATAAGCTTGTTAAAATAATTCATATAGATAAAGTGTGGTGTCATATCTGATGTTGGCTTCATCTCTCCTGAATGATTATAATAGCAGAATTCAGATTTCAGTTTCAGTATGAAGTCAGGGGCACATTGCTCTGATATACACTAGAAGGATTCATTATATTAAGCACTTGCAGGAGCAAGTTTGACCTCCCATGCATATTAATATGTGGCTCCCTTGGAAATAGTTTATACATAAACTCTCTATCCATGAGGTACAAATTTATGGATACTACTCACAATTTCAGAAGCGTTCACAGAACCACTGATGCTTTTTAGTCATTTCTTCCTATTGTAATATATTCTGCAGCAGTACTGTAAAGTACATTTAGATACAAAAATTGACTTTTATGTCATCAAATATTGTAAATAACTCCTAAACTTAAGTAGACCATGGCATTTACAAAAAATACGTTTATTTCATCCATAAACATTGGAAAGTTGCAGTTTCTCAACACTTAAAAATAGTTTAATGTAAGTCAATCCTGTAATCCTCAAGAACATTGAAGTTCAGAGACCAAAATGTAAAGGAACACAAGAGTTTCACTCATAGATTAACCTTTCAGAAAGGTTAAAACCAGTAGACTTTTGATAATCTGATTCCTGGTGAAATTTGTGAGGATTTATATTTGGTAGCGCTAAAACTAACAATAATTGAAGATATCTCTAGCATTGTAACTTGTACATTAGTAGAAGGGCATTTTCCTTGCCATCCTTCAATAATCCTCAATAATTTCTACAAGTTAAATATGAATAAAAATCATATTTTCAACTGTTTACACTGGTCCTGAGATTCAGGGCTTGGCCACTGTCCCTTAGCTTTGTTGCCCAAGGCTAGCACTATACTATTTGAACCCCCAACTCTGCTTCTGACCTTTTTTTCTTTTTTGGTGGTGGATTAGAGATAAGAGACAGACTTTCCTGTCTAGGCTGGCTTCAAACCATGATCCTCTGATCTCAGCCTCTTGAGTAGCTAGGATTATAGGAATGAGCTACCAGCACACTGAAAAAATTCCAAGCTTTCAAAAAATCTTGAGCTTTAGTGGAAATTCAAGACATAACCATGTTTAAATGATAATGTGATTACATTCAAGTACCAAAAAGGTCTCTTGGCTTCAACCTCCAAATGACCATTAAATACTTCCATGTTACCCTTTCAGAAGTAGCCAAATTACATTTCCCTCCCATATTTACTATTGTTTATGCCTCTTGTATCTTCCTTCAGCTCTGAGCTATGAAACTACAGACCCTATGCCAAAAAAATAAACAATGAACTGTGAGGATAGGCAGATAAAATACTTTGGTTTGTTCCTACACCAAAACACTTGGTTCCTTATTCTCGTACCTTGAAATACAAACTTACATGTAAGCTCTACAAGACTGCAAGGCACATTATTTATTACAAATAGAAAACTAAAAGGCCAGACCCCTCCTGTAAAACTATGACAGAGCTAATTATTTGTAGAACATAACTGTGTTTCCTTACTTAACTGCAGAAAACCTAGATACACAGAGGTATGAAGGTGAATCATTAACTGTCACTGCCAGTTAGGGACCCAAAGCAATCTAAAAGATTACTAGAGTTACAGAACAGATCAATGGAAAAATACAATTAAATTTACAGGAGTCTATTTTACATATACATTTTCACAAACTTATTTACTAGATCCTCTAGTCAGTTAATATAACAGCATTTTCCCCTCAAATAAGATTTGCTATGCATTGCAAATGCACTGGAAGGAAATGTAAGGGATATGTTTAGGTCATTAGCTTCTGAAGAAAGGGAAGATAGAAGAGTGTTAATTCATATGTTTATAATTCTCACCTCATAGACATGACTAACAACTCCTGGCCAGAGCCTCCAGTCACCTCTAAGTCTCAAGTTCTGTTTCCAGATCTTAGTGGGAGATTTATGTCTAAGTGAGGAATGGGATTGTCCTCTAACAACTGTGCTTCAATAGGTGTCATTTTCCACATGTTGAAATTAGAAGATAATTCTAAAACTACTCTGAGAGGAAGAAAAAGGCTTAAGCTATTAAATCTCGTTTGCTGCATCCAAAACTTTGATAGTAGTGCTAAAAGGCTCATTCCCCACCTCTTGGTAGTAATATTTTTCTTTCTTTCCCTCCTTATTATTTATTTATGTATTTATTTATTTTAGGTAGGCTTGCTATTCCCATTTTGTTGCAAGGCTGCATTTTAATTCTTCTGATTCTGCAGTTGAACACCTGCAGTTGAACACCTTCATTTGTTCATTTGTTCTCAGCTGGTGAATGAGCAACAAGAAAGCAGACCCCTCCTGAGTCCTTCCATCGATGACTTTCTCTGTGAAACCAAATCGGAAGCTATTGCAAGGCCAGTAACATCCAATACAGCTGGTAATTCTTTTATTTTAACTATACCTCAAGTAGAGTTGATCTGAACCATAATATAATGTGCATCTTTTTTTACAACCATTTTAGGTGGGGAATAATACTTGTAACTAAATGAAACTTTAGAGCATATACTCTTTAGAATAAATTAGATATAACCTATGATTATTTAAAAAGCAATTACAATGTATTTTACTCTATTAATTTTGCTAGAACTTAAGAGTTCCACTGTTACCAGTTAATTTTCTATGCCTTTGTTTATCTTGATATCTTGTCATTTTTATTTGCATTACACTGAAACAAAGCATCTATTTCAGAGTAAGGATTTTCAAGTTTTGGTTGATGGCCTAATCAATTATTTTTCAAAATAGGTGGTGAAACAAAAGTTCGGTACAATAAAAATGTAGATTTTTTTAAAACAACTAAAATGTCCTGCAGGCACTGGATAGTAAAGACTCAAGTCTATTTTCCCCATGTTGACATGTTATTTCTCCTTTTAAAAATTCCCTGATCAGTGCCAAAGTGACTTAAGCTTTCTTAAGCAGGGAGCCTTCAGTTGCTTGGCACTAGCACATGTAGGGTTCAAACATGTCTCAGGAGGGAGTGCTGAATTCCATTGGCACAATACATACTTCTCCAGCAGTTTAGCCTTTCTGAATCAGTCTCATTTGGTCAACATTCATAGTCTAAGGAACATCATGCAAATAAAAATGGAAAAAACAATGTTCAGAATCAAAAATCAAAGATTATATTGGATGGGTAATATAGAGTTGCATAGAAAGAGAAGTCAATAATCCCATCTGTCTTCTTAAATTTGTGTCATTTTTCCATGACGTCCTTGGCTAGCTGCTGGCTTGTATATTTTCATTGTAGGTAGAAATATTGAAGAATATCTTAAAAGGAGGAAATTGTGACTTTTTCCAAAAAATACTAAAACTTGCAAACACAAGAATGAATGACAGATACGAGTGCCTTAGGTGGGAATATAATCCAAGTTTCTGAGGTCAAACTCCATGAATTCCAACCCCAGCTCTGTATCCATGGGCAAGTTGCTGCGCTTTCTCACCTAACTTAGCCTTAGTTGCCTCATCTAGTATTAAGAGCATATCTCATAAGTCACTTGAGAAGACCAAATAAAGGATCTATGAATGTACTTTATGCCATGTAAATTCTAATATGACCATTTCTGCTAGTATCAGGTGAAAACAGTATTCCTTACACTTCCCTTTTCTTAAAAATCAGTAAACAACATTGCTGTACTTAAGCAATCATTTTCTAAAATCAACTATCACACTGAGTAATCAAGAAAATAAATTTCATCCTTGGTAACATTGTTCAATTAGATTTACCTTCCTAATCTAGGAAACTGGAGCTCAGCCCTCCAAAATTGCAAAGCTACCCCAAGAAAATCCAGAGAGCCTGTGTTTCTTAGAGCAGCAAAGCCATGAGAAATAGATGCACTAAGGGATTACTCTTCACTTTCCAGTTCCCACTGATGAGAAAGTTAAGGCACTTAGGAAGGGCCCAACGTGAAAGAGCCACATAAGATACGTCTCAAAAGCTTTTCACTTGATTATCTAACATTTAAAAGAAAGACCTGGAGTTAGCACCAGTGCTCACTCCTATAAACCTAGCTACTTGGGAGACTGAGATCTGAAGATTGTGGTTCTAAACCATTTGTCTCCAACAGAAGAGAACACTGGATGTAGAAGTATGGCTCAGGTGATAGACTGCCTGCCTTGAGCAAAAAAGCAAAGAAATAGGGTTCAGGCCCTGAGTTCTAGTACTGGACACAAGAGGGTGGGTGGGGCAGGAAGGAAGGAAGGAAGGAAGGAAGGAAGGAAGGAAGGAAGGAAGGAAGGAAGGAAGGAAGGAAGGAAGGAAGGAAGGAAAGGAGGGAGGGAGGGAGGGAGGAAGGAAGGGAGGGAGGGAGGGAGGGAGGGAGGGAGGGAGGGAGGGAAGGAAGGAAGATGAGAGAGAAAGTAGGCAGAGAGAAAAAGAAAGGAAAGAAAGAAAAAGAAAGAAAGAGAGAGAGAAAGAAGAGAGAAGGAGGGAAGGAAGGAAGGAAGGAAGGGAGGGAGGGAGGGAAAGAAGGGAGAGAGGGAGGGAAGGAGGGAAGGAAAGAAAGAAAGAAAGAAAGAAAGAAAGAAAGAAAGAAAGAAAGAAAGAAAGAAAGAAAGAAAGAAAGAAAGAAAGAAAGAAAGAAAGAGAAAGAGAGGGAGGGAGAGAGGAAAAAGAGAAAGAAAGAAAGGAAGGAAGAAAGGAAGGAAGAAAGGAAGAAAGGAAGGAAGAAAGGGAGGAAGGGAGGGAGGGAGGGAGGGAAGAAGGAAGGAAGGAAGGAAGGAAGGAAGGAAGGAAGGAAGGAAGGAAGGAAGGAAATCTATGAAATACTGAAATTCTAGATGACTACCAAAAGAAGGTAATTTCTTGTCATACAAAACCTTCAGCATTGTCCTCTTAGTTTCCTAAGCATATGGTAATAAAGTTCCACAAGACAAAGGATACAGAAATCAAAAGCAGTGACATCAGGGAATAAACCAAAGGGAGAAAAAAAAGAAAGAAGAAAAACTGAAAACTGTACAATATAAAACTCTTATTTCTATTTCTTGGGGTTCATTTCAATAAGCATCATTTTATGTGGTCATTGCACACAGCTATCATATCCTTTCCTAAGAATATCCTAGACATATTCTAATTATTACAAATGAGAGAAATAGTGGTGCTTATGTTTCTTTGGGTCTGGCTTACTTCACTTAATTTTTTCCAGATCTTTCTATTTCCTTATGTGAATCACAGAAATGCTGGAACAAAGGGTGAAGTAATTCAACAGTGATATCACTAGACACTATATAGGAAATGAACTTAGGATAACTAAGCTTATCAAATAAGGATATTTTTCTTTTGTTTTTTTATTAACATCCAAATTTTCCTTTACTTCATCTATAATCCAGGGAGGCACCTAATTCTCTGGCTTTCTTAAATTGCATCCTTAGATTTAACACAAGCTAAAATAATTGTGAAACTGTTTGATTTTTAAAAAGTAAACAAATATACACTTATTCATAAATCAAATGATCTGACTGTTATGAAATAACTAATATTTTAAAGTGATTATACAAATTTGAGGCCAGTCTGGGATACCTAGTAAGTCATTGTCTACAAAAAAAAAGAAAAAAAGATTATTTGAGTCATACTATAACTTTTGTAACAATAATTTGTTCTTTGATCTCCTAATAAATCTAATATACATCAAAGCACAAGTCAGACTCTGCTAAAGATCAAGGAGAAAAACAGGTTTCTTAGTTTGTATTCATCACACTACATAATTTAAAGGCATTTATCCATTAACTTGAGCTATTGGGTGAATAAGTTTTAGAACAAACATTTTTGGGTTTAAAACAGCTTACTCCTCCTTCACTTAGGTTTTATACACTTACATACAAGACTTTCATTATAAGAAAAGAACCATATATAACAAAGTTTCCGGCCCTGCTACAGCTATTTACTAAAATATCTTTATTGTAAAAAATAAGCATATTTACAAAATACATTTTTATGAAGCTTCAGTGTTCACAAACTCAAATCACATATTTTTTTGAGAGCTTAGAAATTTGAGTAGAAGTTGTAACTACATATTCCAACGAAGAGGAAAAAGTTGATTGAATTAATTTATCCCTTTGATATAAGTATATTTGAAAGTGTCTGATACTGCCATTTAATTCATGACCTATTACGACATAGTAGTACAAATAAGATTGAATGTACTACAAAATGTCTAAAGGAAGCTTCTTACAAGGTACTATTTCATTCTTTTGAAGGGGCCTCCCTTCCCAGGACCCAATTAATGTAGTAATTAATATTTGTTCACAGTGCCACTTGCCAGCTTTCCAATACACTATGCTATGTTCTCCAATCAAGTATACCTGAAGAAGTTGAAAACAAACACTTTAATCATTGATTTTCAGGAAATTTCAGCCAATGTAATTAAGGTTTACAAAGAAAGCTTCTGGGGTTATTAATTATTTAAATCATGCCTCAAACTCTTCAAATGGCCAGATAACCAGTATCTTAAAAATAAATAAATAAATAAATACACTTTATCAGTAAACTCTGCACCCTGCCCCCAGACATGGATGAAGGCTAGAGAAGAGGGGTTAATTATGCATGCTTGGAGACACCCATCTATATTTGAATCTTTGAGTCCTCCTAGACTCAGTAACAGATGTGTTAGTTTCCCATCACTTCTGAAAAAAAATCACCACAAACTTACTGCCTAAAACAATGCAGTTTTATTACTTTAAAGTTGTGGAAGTTGGAAGTGCTCCTATCAAGATTCATCAGTCTACTTTCCTTCAGGAGCTCTAGGACAGAATTTGTTTTTACTTTTTCCAGCTTCTTGGGGACACCTATCATTGTTGATTTTTGGATCTTTCCTCAGTCTTCAAAATAACCAGTATAATATCTCCAAAATTGGGGGCTGGGAGGGTGGCTCAGTGGTAGAGCACTTGCCTTGCATGCTTGAGGCCCTGGGTTCGATTCCTCAGCACCACATACGCAGAAAAAAAAAAGCCGGAAGTGGTGCTGTGGCTCAAGTGGTAGAGCACTAGCCTTGAGCTGAAGAGCTGAGAGACAGCGCCCAGGCCCAGAGTTCAGACCCAAAAAAAAAAAAAAAAATCTCCAAAACTGTCTACAAACCTCAATCCTCATCCCCAGTTGCATCTGTTCCATTTTTATATATTTTCTCTATGACCTTCCTGACTTCTACTTAGAAGAACACTAGTGATTACATAAGACCAGTGGTCCATGAGACTCAGCAACTAACCACCAAAAAGCCAGAAGTGGAGCTGTGGCTCAAGTGATAGGGTGCAAGCCTTGAGCGAAACAGCTAAATTCAGGCCCTGAGTTCAAGCCCCAGTACCAACACGAGCCACACACACACACACACACACACACACACACACACACACACACACACACACAGAGACAGAGACAGAGAAAGATAAGAGGAAGGGAGGAAGGGAGAGAAACCCAAAAGCTAATGCATAGTAGGGTGAGGAATTAAACACAGGCAGTCCCAGTCGTTTTCTTATGTTGACTTATTCTATGCACAATGTTTGTATAACTTCAAATAAGCAAACTGACTTAGCTGAAGAGACAGGATAAAGTGCTTCAATAGATGATGTGGCTTAGGAGCCACCAAACTTGGAATCCCCCCTGCAGCAGATGGAAGTGAAGGGAAAAACTCCCACAACCTGTAGCCTATGAGTGATGAAATGTGGCCCTTTAGGAAAGGATAGATATGTGAAATAAGATTGTACTCAGAAATATTTTACTGGATCCAACACGAATGTACATAATCAAATATATCTGGAGAGCGAGGGAAGGAGATACAGACAGACAGATAATTTCACATCAACTATAACAGGAAGCTATCCTTTGTCAGCTGCATAGAACTTTTGTCTAAGACCATGGTTCTATTCCTGTCTACAATATAGCTGTAATTACAGACATACTCAACCATCCTCTGTTTATTCTTAAGATTTTGCTATCTTGTGCTGGCCTCAAACCATGATCCTTCAAGAAACTGTAATTGCAGGCATTTACTTTTAAGTCTTAAAAGATACACAGCCACTAAAATGTGATTTGTCTCCTTCAAAGCCTGAAAGTCTGCACCCAACCTCTTCAGTTCTTACAATTGTGGTTCTCAGAACTTGAAAGCTTACCTTTTGACCTCCAAGGCACCTCTTTCATCACCTGGGTAACAAAAAAGTCCTGCGTTTGTGATAAGCCTTTGTTTGGTATTTTCAGGGAAAAGAACAAAGGGGCAGAGAGTACCCAGAAGTACCCAGGACATATTAGAGAGGAAAAAAAGAGAATGTGACTGAACCCAGATCAAACTCACAATCCACTCCTTTAGCATTTTATTCTGAGCGGTGAGAAGCAGAGAGAGAATTGAATTCATATTCACCAATTATTATTTTGTAACAAATGTACTCCCTATTTACAAGTATATGATTCTTATATAATTTGCTTCCAAAAGAACAAGTGACTAGGTCTTGTCTGTACAATTGGTAAAACAGTGTGTGTGGCATTCCCGAGATTGTTCTTGGTGTTCTTTATAAGGAAATCACATTGGGTCTAGATTCTTTGACAACCTAACTGTATCTGAAAGTTCTGTTTAACCATTATGTTGATAAAAGAAAAAGTATGTGGCACCCAGACCATGGCTGTCTGCTAGATTTAAATTTTAGACATAAAGCCTGGTAGCTTAGTTCTCAACAGCTACTTCTTTCCCTCTGTACTCCAGTATTTCTTAACCACACAAAACTCATATTTCAGATGATCTTAGTGCTCAAAAGTAGCTCCCATCTTCTCAGAAAGACTCAATTGAGATAAACTGACACTTTCAGGCTATTTTATGTTCAATTTCCTCCACAAAATCCTCTGTAGATCCAGTATCTTTATCTCATCTTCAGTTTTATCCTCAGTAGTGGTCCTTGGTATAAGTATGTGGATCTGATTCCTGCCTGAGATAGAAAGGAATGAGGAAAATAGAATAATAGTAGGCGAACAACACAAAGAAAATGAAAACATTGTAAACTGGCCTCCCAAGAATAGAAGTAGTATTTGTGTTTATACATATGTGAAGTGCAGATAGAACCCAGGGCCTTCACTTAGCTGAGTAAGCATTGTACCAAAGAGCCACACTCCCAACTCAGAAATAACATTTCCTGACTGCCTACCATAGCCTAGAACTTACACACATTAGATCATATACTCATCATCTCGTAACTCTCAAAGACCATTAACTCTGTTTCCAGATCAGGAAACTGAAACACAGACTTGTCAAGACACTCAATTCAAGGCACACCTAAACTGGTAGAACCAGATCTCTCTATTTTACCAATAGTATCCAATCATTGTGATTTGGAATTGAATTCAGAAAATAAGAAAATTTAGACATAGTGGTAATATTGTGATCCAAGCTACTTGATAGGCAGAGGCAGAAAGGCTAAATTAAGAGACCTTATTTCAAGGCCAAGACAAAACAAAAGCATTGGGGACATGGCTCTGGTACTTCTGTAGCAAGTCAAAGCTCTACCTCCAACCTCTAGTACAAAGATTCACAATCCTTGCAACTCTGAAGATTCCCCTGGGCATGGTTAGCTCAGGCAGGTGGTGCAGTACTAAAGAAATCTGTGTTGAAGGTTTAGTTGATCCCAGGCCCTTCCTTGGGTGCAAGCAGATGGAGAGGTGTTGAGGCAGCTGCAAAATCCATTCTCCATCTGGAGGTAGAGCTAGGACATGACAGGAGAACAGCAGTAAGTGTTGCAGACCATGATTTACTAAGCTTAGAGGATGCAGACAGTATTGTAGAAAGTGATTTTCTTTAGCTGGCTGAGTGAAGAGTGCTAGGTCAGGAAGACACCAGGACTGATCCACAGTCTCTATACTGAGAAATGACATAGCACAGCACAGAGTAGGTCCGGAGGGACCTTCTCTAATCTGAATTTTCTGTGTACATAATGAGCTTATCAAATACTAGTTACTTTCACTATAAAGGAAAGAACTGGAAATTTCAAAAGCTTACTTCTTTTAAATTCTCATTTGCCTCAACAAACTGCTATTTCTACCTTCCTTAAAGTGTTAAATACAGTAGAATCAGCCAGCTAGGAATTGAAAGTGTATGAGTCTTATACTTGGTTACATTGATATTAAACTTGCATATTTTAATTTGCACATTAACCTGTGTACTTATTCATCAACATGTGTACCTATTCATCAATTATGGATTATAAAATACCTCTCCAGTGTTAGTGCAAACAACATGCCATTTGCTGATTGAGCTGTTTAATTAAATAAAAGATGATTAACAGCATTTCTTTATACCCCATATATTTCACTGTTTAAAATAAAAGCCTTCAGAAACTTCACTATGGTTCTGACCATGACAAGTTCAGCCTTCTACAGGAAAACTAGAATTTAAAGAAGCCTTTTTTAGAAATGAAGCAAAACAATACATTTTTACCTGACCTCAGATTGCATTTTGTCATGTTAATTTTGGTCAAAATTCATCATAGCTAAGGGAGGTCTAAGTTCTGCCTCATCCATGTGCAAACTAGAATACACAGCAAACTTGCCCATCTAACAGTTTATAACTCAACGGGAAGCCAATTTAATTTGCTGTTTCTAACCTAAACTATACCCATAAGATCTCTGTGTACTCAACTGAAACCTATTTTTAAAAAGTAACTACAAGGCAGTAACTGAAACCTATATTTAAAAAGTAACTACAAGGCAGTAACTGGGCTTACCTTAACCTTATCTGTTTGTGTCTGCTAGTGTTGACTACAGGCTTAGATCTCCTCGACCTGAGTGAACCAGTCTCCCAGACTCAAAGCAAAGCCAAGAAGTCAGAACCTTCATCCAAAACTTCATCTCTCAAGAAAAAGGCTGAGGGACCTGACCTCATCAGCACAGATGTTGAGCAGAGAGGCCAGCCCCTCCAAGTCACAGAGACTTCATCCTTAGATTTAGGTAAGGAGTAGTTGTTTCCGGCCATTGCTAAACCTTCTACTACTGATGGTAGTAGTGATACAACAGGGAAGCCCCACAGCTGACAAAAGTGAATTAAACAATAGAAAAGGCAAAGTCCATGTAAGAAACTGGGCAAGGCATAAACTTTTGTGCTTGGATTGAATGGCCATCAAGGAGCTCAACTTTACATAACTAGTATTGATGTACTCATTCAGCACACAAGTAATTTGCTAGTCATAGAAAGCAGGCACCATAGTGGATTCAATAGTTTCAAATGAAAGATGCATCTTGCTTCCAGCAGCTCTCAATCTAGGGCAGGAGACAGAAAGATACATGAATAAACAACTCCAATACAAAGAGATAACAATAGCCAAAATAAACATTAGCATGTACATGTCCAAGTTAATGATAACAATAACTACCATGTAGTATTTTCCTGGAATCATGCTGCATTGTTTGCATGAGACATATTATTGTCTCATACAATTATCAGAACCTGGAGATATGTGAGAAACCAAATTTAAATTTTAACTTGTCCCAAGATCTCTAAGTTACTAAGAAGAGCTAGAACTTTTGCTTCACTGTAGTGAACATTAATGCACGTACTTTGATCTTCCTGAGGGGAGAAAAAAAACAGCTTAATCCTCAGCTGATTGAATCAGTCAAATCAAGCTCTGTTTTCTCAGGAGAAAGAAAACTGGTAGGAACTTCAGAAAGATATCTCTGCCTGTTACTAACTGCTCTTTGTGTACATAAATATGTGGTGAATATATATATATATGCTCATAAAGTAAGTTTATTCATACTTATTTATAATGTTCAGAAGAATAAGTAGGATATATGTATATGTATGTATACATATATGTGTGAAATCACTTTCTACCATGATATGTATGTTAGATGGCCAATTAATTTATTCATTTGCCCCATAAACATTTTTTAAGATGTCCTGAGTTGTGGGCATTTTCTATGTTCTAGGAATACAAAAATAATATATTCTTGTCTTGGGGCTGGGAAGGTGGCTCAGTGGTAGAGGGCTTGCCTTGCATGCATGAGGCTCTGGATTCGATTCCTCAGCACCACATAAGCAAAAAGAAAAAAGCCGGAAGTGGCACTGTGGCTCAAGTGGTAGAGTGCTAGTCTTGAGCTGAAGAGCTGAGGGACAGCACCCAGGCCCCACGACCGGACCCAAAAAAAAAAAAAAATATATATATATATATACATATATATATATATATATATATATATTTATATATCCTTGTCTTGCCAGGCACTAATGGCTCATGCTTATAATCGTAACTACTCAAGAGACTGAGATCTGATCATAGTTTAAAGCCAACCCAGGCAGGAAAGTTCATGAGAATTATCTCCATTTAATCACAGTGGAGCTGTGGCCCAAGTGATAGAGTGCTAGCCTTGAGCACAGAAGCCCAGAGTTCAGCCTCAGGACTAGCAGGGTGATGATGATGATAATAATAATGATGATGATAATGGAATAATAATAGTAATAATAATACAATTTTGTGTTCCCTTTATCAGGTTTACAGTCTAGTAGATTAAAATATGTATTTGGAATTAAATATAAATATTGTAGTGAATTGCAATTACACAGTTACTAAAATGTCTGAGTTTCAGTCACTACTGAATTGCAATCCTTGGGTGCCATTCCCTTAAGATTGGGATTGAAGTTGGGCAAGGTTGCACACACCTGTTGTCCCATCTCCTGTGCAAGCTAAGGCAGAAGAATCCTGAGTTTGAGGCTAGTCCAGGCAAAGTTAGTGAGACACATTCTCAAACGTAAAATTAAAAAGGCAGGATGCTACAGGAGAGAGAGTTCAAGGTGTGGAACTCCTGTAGAGCAGCAGTAAGGCCTTCCAGTACCACGGGCTGAAGGATAAAGATTGGGAAAAGGAGGGTTTTATTCAAAGGGCTTAACTGACAGGACAGACGGCAACAAATTCTATTTTAACAAAAGGAAAAATCCTTCTCTGGTGGATGGATGAAGACAAGACTAAAGGCAAGAATGACAATACAGAGAACCAGTGCTAACAAAAGGAAGAGAAAGATTAAGAAATATTAGAACAAGATTTTGGAATTGAAATTTGTATGCCAGCAGATGGGTCTTAAAGAACATGTGAGCCCTGTGACAGGTAGAAACAACTTTCGCTGTGTGCTGGTGGCTGAAGCCTGTAATCCTCGATATTCAGGAGGCTGAAATCTGGGAATCATAGTTTGAAGGAGCCCAGGCAAACATATCTAAAAGACTCTTCTTTCTAATTAACCAGCAAAAAAACTGGAATGTGGAGGTATATTTCAAGTGGTAGACTGTCAGACTTGAGCAAATGAGCCAAATGAAGACCTGAGTTCACACACACACAGACAAACACCGAGTGCTTCAGTTGTAAAAGCAATTTAATTTGTCTTCATAGTTTTCATTTTTACTTACTTCCATATATTTTAATTAAATTTTAATGGCACATTGGAAAGGTAAAAGATGGTCTTGGGTCTTTTATGTGTGAGAGGTAATGCTTGATTGTATAAAACTTTTCAATCTTATTCAATCTCTTTACTATCTTTACCTTGTTCTCTCTCCCTGGCTCCCTCATTTCTTACCTCTTAGTAGACATTCAAACACAACTGGAAAAATGGGATGATGTTAAGTTTCATGGAGATCGAAATAGCAAGGGGCATCCAATGGCAGAGAGAAAATCATGTTCATCTAGAGCTGGATCAAAAGAGCTTTTATGGTAAGATAATCTGACTATAGAAAATAGCCATGTATGTGTCAACTATGTGAGAGTTCCTTTCATATACCGAAATAGACAATTAGTTAAATTAATCCAGATACTTAGTATTACATATAATAACCTCATGGGTCAATGTTAATTAATTTGGCTTCTACAACCTGTAAATTATGTCAAGTGAATTGTCAAGAATTAATTAAATTCAGTCAATAAGGATTTGAGATGTGTTGTGATTCAGCATTTGCTGGTAATTTTCTGAATGTGTGACTGAGATAGTTAAAATGATGTATATATATATATATATATACATATTTGTAAGAGAAAGTATGTAACATGCCACATCAATATTAATTAAGTTTTCTGATTATATAGGCAATCTTCACTGGCTTTCTCACTCATCCACTGTCATATAATACAATAATTAAGGGTAACTGATTACTTTGAGAAAATCTAACTACTCATTTCATCATGTTTATATGAGTCTTAAAGGGGAAATTTCCCATTCAAGTTTTGTTTCCCATTTGAACCTTCAACTTATTGTGATGTTTCAACTTCAACCTAGAGATATTTTGTGAAATGTCCCCCACAAAAAGACACAATGTTTTTTCATAAAATGAAATTCTGCGAAACAACGTGGCTCTGTGTCTATTTTTCATTCTGCCTATAAGTGAGCTAAATTCTAACATAAAACAGTAACAGCACATTATGGCCACTTAAATAAATGGTCAAGATAATGGAAATTCATAAAATGTATCATTTTCACCAGAACTCTGATGAGAGGTTCATTATCCTGATTTTCAATGACTCTACTTAACTATGTTTCTTGTGTGAATTTCAAGCTGAATTTCCTCTCAATGACATTGGTTTCTGTAATGCATCCTTTACAGGTCTGCGGAACACAGATCTCAGCCAGAACTGAGTGGTGGCAAAAGTGCCCTCAACTCTGAGTCAGCTTCGGAGTTGGAATTAATGGCCCCAGCACAGGTAATAAAGTCACATGTCCAGTGAAGCCATCTGCTCAAGTAGATAATGTCTCATGAATATTTCACTTGTGTTTTTTAGCAAAAGTTTGAAGTATTTTATTCTGCTTTCTTACTTAGTAACTGTCTCAATGCTAAGAATAACTGATTTATACAAATATACATATTTTGCTGGGAAACATGCTAATGAATTCACTGTGTACTTAGCACGTTTTCCTTGTTCTGCCATTGACTGTGCCAGTATTTTGCAATACAAAATCTGATTCTTCTCCAGTATTAGCACTATTTGTGCTACAGAACCAAAAAAAAGGAAGTCACATCCTGAGTGCTCATTCACATCTATGCCCTTTGGAACAAGGTATTATATACATCAGTATTCTGACTGTCACATTAAAATAAACTGCATACCAGAGAATATTATTCTTGTATTAGCAGTAATGACAATAATAAGCTATTAGGGACTTGCTGTGCACTTTTCATGTATTATATCTAATATCCAAATAATTCCATGCGTTCTAAAGATAGTCCTCAAAAGCACTCTTAGTCTCAGTGAAGTCACGCATCTTTTCCTGGGACATAATCACTGGCAGTGATTATATATGAAATAGATCTGTCCACTGCTTGACCATCACTCCAGTATACCTGGTAATGAGTTTATTCTCTCTTATGGCTAAAGGTCCTCTTCTATCATACTGAGAGTAATGTTGGTCTCAATCTTTCCATCCCCTTTGACAGTGTTCAAGGCTATTGCCTTGACCTAAAACCACAACACAAAGATCTCTGAAATATGTGCCCATGTTGGTGCATTCTGGAATCTAAGGTATAATTGATCATTTAAGTAAGGAAATTAAGTGGCGTGAGCAAGAGATTTCCTTGAGTTTTTCTAGATATGATGTTGTAATTAAGAGGAATAAGTTATCTGAGGTGAAATAAAATGGATAAAAGTGAAAACAGTAGGTGTTATTGTATGCTATTATTTCTAATGTACATTGGCCCATTTGATACCATTATATAGAGAAGGAAACTAGGACACAGAAAAATAAAGAAACTAATCTGTGGACCCACAACTGTTCAGTGCTAGAGAGAAAGAGGGCCCACGTACAGTGGTAGTTCTAAGAAAATGGAAACATTCCTAAAACATCTCCTTCTCCAGGAGAGAAGACATTAGTGTTCCCAGAAAACAGCTGAAAAACAAGTCGACTAACTTCCTGAACAAATCATCCTGCAAACCTTAATGAATTGTAAATGTAGCATGAAACTGTATTTTTTAAATCTGGAGAGTGCATTTTGTATTTTCTTTCTTTATGCTCATTCTAAATGTATCTTTTTAAAATGAAAAATTAAGGCACTTATTAGGAAAACATTTCTTGATAGGTAGAGATTTAAGATTCACCTAAAGTAACTGGTACTGTGTCATAAACTGGAATCCTTGTAACAATTTAATGTAGCAATAAAACATTTGTTTTGAAAGCAGGGCAAGACTTGGCCCAGGTGGGCTGTTCTACACCAAGCTGGGGCAGAGGAGCAGCTAGGGTCGATGGTTTCCATAGAAACCCACAATGCATTTATCTTATTATCCCAATGACTGCTGCCCTCCTGCTGCTTGTGTGATTCCATCCCACCACACTGTCCTTCCTTTTACCCACTAACCAGCTTTCCTTTAAGGGAGCACAGTGTGCTTTGGAAAATTGGTATGTGATTCCTTATGTTGTCTTCCAAAATACACTTTAAAATGCACTACAATAGTTTTCTGTCTAAGGAAGGCTTAATGAATCATTTGAGGTGGTTATTTATAAAGACTTTACTTCTTCAGTTTTTTTAAATAAATATTATCAATGTAGTAAGATTTGCTAGAACTAAGAAATTTCATGCTATTCTGTGAATTCCAACCTATGGTTTAATTAGAAAAACTTCATGAATCAAGGTTTAATACTATACCTGAAACACCTAGTCATCCAAACAGAGAAGCAAGGGAGTACATAAATTAATCTACTTGTTATCAGAGACAGATGTTTTCATTGGAAAAAAACACACTGCTCTTGAATATATGGCTTGTTATGTAGATATAGTAAAACATGATGGAGGTAGAATAAAAATCCAACTTATAACTGACTTGCAAATCATTCACATAGAGCATTTCAGCTCATCAAAACTGATTACTGGGCTCCTCCTTCTCAGATGGAGGGAATGAATCAACAGGTGATGGGCTATTATAAGCCATGCTTAAAAACATATTTCAGAATCACAAATAAATTGGAAGCTCACAAAGTAAGTAATTCTGATGTTTTCTTACTTTTCTAAGACATACAAAGGGCAAAAAAACCATGTCACAGGTATTTTTCCCATGTCTTCTCAACACTTGTTATCTTTTGGCTTTTCAATAATAGCCCTTATAACACTTGTGAAGTGATATCTCATTGTAATTTTTAATTTAGTTTTTATTTATTTCATTTTATTTTTTGTTTTATGGTGCTGAGGACTGAGCCCACAGCCTTGTACATGCAAGGCCAGCACTCTTCCACTGAGCTGTATCCTGGCTCCCTTATTTTATTTTTTTGTAAATGTATTTCATCTATTATTATTTATCTTATGCCTGGTGCTTATGTGCTCTACTACTTGAACCACACACGCCAGCCATTTCACTGATACTCTCATTTTTTGCCATGACTCACTTGAATCACTATTTATGCATCCTGGGTAACAGTGATACTAAATGGTGCTAAGCTCACCCCCCCCTCCAAAAAAAAATACAGGGAGACAAAACCCCTAACACCCATAAGTCAATGAATCCATAAATACTAAATAGTTGGATGCTCCACAGTTTATGGTTGAGTGAAAATCAAGTGAATTACAGAATAGTATACCATTTGTGTTCAGTTTTTAAAAATATATTGCTATGTTCTGCTTATGGGTGAATAAATATGAAATTAACTACACAGAAGATCTAAGTATGCTCTATAGGCACATCTCTTATTTTTGTGATTTTTTTCCAAACATTTTCAATTAACTAAATTAAGATATATGTCACCTTAGCTGTGATTCATAGAAGCAGTTGGCCTTATCAGACATGATTTTGCCTAAATGACTCACGATTATTTCATGCAGGGAAATATCCTGAGATACAGAATACAAGAATGTGCCAGTTCACATGGGAAGGCAAAGCAAAGCAGATTCTGTGTTAGGACCTGCTGTATATATGAAACTGGCCTGAAAGCCACACTTCTATCTTGGCCTCTCATCCTCCTAACAATAGAGATTATCTAGTCACAAACTAGAATCAGTGGGGGATTTTTCTAAAATATCAGTACTTGGAATACAGACTTATAGAAGTAGTATGTTTGAGGGTAGAGACTGGTTTTAACATGACTAAGCTGAGACTCATTACTGAAAAAACATGCATATATGCTCACAAACATTGAGACTTACCAATTAGGGCATAAATCTTGAAAGATACTCCAAAAATAACATCAGTTAGAAATACTTCTGAGAAAATAACATGGGAAAAGAAACACTTAATTGCTTGTGTCATGTAATCTAATAATTTACACTTTATATTTGGTTTATTTCAGGCCCGACTGACCAAGGAACATCGCTGGGGAAGTGCATTACTTTCCAGAAACCACTCCTTGGAAGAGGAATTTGAAAGGGCAAAGGCAGCAGTAGAGGTACTTTTAAAATGTGCTTTTCTTTTTCATATTTCTCATAGTGCCATTAAAAAATCAAACCAATAGGATACATATAAAATGAGTCTTATTTTACAGATATGAATCTGAAACATGATTATGATTGTCAAAATAGGACATGTTGCTAAAGAACCTTTGATTTCTCATCTGGAAAACAAATAGATGTCACCTCTTGTGCCAGTTCTATGACAGATTAGCAATGCCTGTGTGAGGTCCTAGGTCAGAAAGAACTCTGAGCCCTTGGTTCCATGGTGAACACCACTGTGTATTTGCTAAGTCTCAGTGAGATCAGAGTAATGTCTGAAATTTGATAATCTCCCTGCCTTTGGATATTATAATTCTCTAATTAGTTGAGAAAGGGGCATTGCTTGAATAGGCTAGCCAGTGGATAACCTGAGACATGATCTTTTTATCATTGTCTAAAACATTGTTGAGAAGAAAAGTGAAATACTGGATATGAATATTAAATATAAAAATATTCTAATGGGATTAGGGAGCAAGGCAGGAAGAGAAGCCAAAGAAACATCAGACATCATCTTTTGCTATTTTTTAATCCACTCTTCTGGCTGGAAGAGCAAAATGTATATCACAGATGTGAGCTGGGATGCTCATCGGAGCTTTGATTGCTATAGGAGCAGGATCTTTCCCAGAATTCAAGTATGAGCTTGATAGGACCTCCACTTCCAATACTGATGTGAAATCTAGAGAAATGAAGGCATCTTGGAATGTGCTACATTTCTGTGACATCTTAAGCTAGATTTCAGATGGTATGATGATACAAAGGCTCTTCTTCTGTAACTCTCAACTTGAGGTGCAATAAAAGCATATTCTCATCTTCATGTAAGGATTTATTTTATTCTGGGAAATAATTTGATATAATAATTCAGAAAGCCAAAAGCAGAATACTTTTCATCTCACCACATTAAAATCCACCCAAATTTCTTCTTTTAATTTCAACTTTTTCTAGTTAAAAAAGCAAATGAATATTTAATACTCCTAGTGTGATCTACTGATATAGTTGGTTGAGACCAGCTGAGTTCAATCAAGTTGTTCAAATGCATGGAGCCTGTAGCTTAATTTATCTTAAATGTTGATTTTCCAGACTTAAGAGCTAATTTAAATTTATCTTTTGAACTCCTACTGTGTGTAGCATACTGAATTAGCAATCAAATTATTATTCTAAAACATAGAATCTTAGGTCAAGGAAGACATTAGCATTTATCTAATACCATTTATAATGAGAAAGATAATGGATTTCTACTCAAAAAAACACAAAGCAACAATCAATAAGGAAAACATAACTTCCTGCCTATCAAGATAAATATTCTCAAAATCATTTTATCTTATTTTTGTAGAGCTTTTAGGTATTTTTCCTTTAAAATTCTTGACCAGTTCTTCCATACAATTCTTACATACAATTAGGAGCTATTCATTTCTTTCCTTGAGAACACATTCCAGTTTTGACTAATACTAATTATAAAGAGTTTCTTAATCATATTATGCTGCTGTTATCCTATCAAGAAGTTGATATTTTTGTTACCTTTGGAGCAAGTTGGAATTTGCTTAATCCTTTCTTTACATGATACCTACCTTAACAAAGTAGGATATGTCTTCTGGCTTTCCTTATCACTCCCAGGGCCTGAATTGTTCTATCAACTCATCCCTGATACTGTATGATAATAGTTCATCTCTAGACCTCCATCTCCATAGTCCTTTTCTGCCACAAAACCCAGGAAGCTGTTAAGTTATTTCAAAATATTACTTGCTTAAAAAATATTATTGACTTCCTCCATGCACTAGCTGACAAACTAGAAGGTAAAGATAAAGAAATGAGGAAGTTGAGCTGTGGAGCACTAGCCTTGAGAGCCCTTAATTCAAGCCCCAGGACCAGGACACACATACGAACACACTCATGTGTGAACACACACACATTGTCGATTTGCTAAGGGTAGGTGGCTCAGGTCTGTAATCTTAGCTAATTAGAAGGTTGAGATATGAAGATCATGATTCAAAGCCAGCCCAGTCCATGAGACTCTTATCTCCAATTAACTAACAATAAGACAGAATTGGAGGTGTGGCTCAAGTGATAGAGCAAGATAAAAAGTTAAAATATAGCACCCAGGCACTGAGTTCAAGTCCCTGTACCAGCACAAAAAATAAAGAAATAAGTCAGCCTTAGGGAGCTGTCTAACAATAGCATGGAACACAGGAAAAAACACTTCTTCCTCATATCATCTATTAGATGAAGAGCTTCAATTTCTAATGTACAATAAGTGAATTTATGCCTTCATGTGTAAAGTATAGTTATACAGAATTCCCAACAAATTAAAAAGTGTTTTTGTTTATTTTCCTTCTGGAAGCTTCCCAAAAGGAATGAGGAGAGTTAATGCCAACTACCAAGTGGGGTAGGAGAAAGAAGTATGTGAGTGTGAATCAGAAATGCAGAATTTAAACTATGGGTGGTCAGTCATGTCCAAGACACTTCATGCAAATGCAGGCCATTTACCCCAGAAAATTCTTACCTAGAAAAATCTAAATTCCCAGTAAAATACAAAGTAATATATATATATATATATATATGTATATATATATAGATGTATATATATATATATATATATATATCAGAGTCTTAGAAACATACATACCCATTGAAAACATTTAAGACTGTATAAAAAAGTTTATTTCAGCTGGAAGAAATCTATGTACTGTCAGTTTTATGATATAATCCCAATTTTGTAAAATAATAGCATAATGGCTAACATGTTGTATTCTAAGTATCTTTGCACAAGGTGGTTTCGATTTAACATGTCAACTTATAAGTACATTGTGTACTTTCTGTCTTGGATCATTGTCACCCCTTTCATCATTTTAATCTTCACAGACATCCTGGGAAGATGGCACTATTACTAGCCCCATTTTGCATGAGAAAAGTGAGGTTCCAAGAGACTGCAGCCAGATGTGTCATTTTTATAAACAATTCAGATGAATTGCAAAATGGCACTCTTAGCTGGTTACAGAGCCATAATTATGACCCAGGCTGCATAGGCTGTATTTTGAACCACTGCCCTCTATGAAAATAAAGCCTGGTCAGATCAGACTACTATGACAAAATACCTTAGACTGAGTAATTTCTAAAAGATAGGAATACTTTGCTCACAGTTCTGGGATCTGGGAAGCTCAAGATCAGATGCATTGTGTGGTGAGGACCAATCCCTCATAGAGGTGTCATCTTGCTGTGTCCTCACACAATGGGAGGAAAAAGGGCTTGGAGCAGGCTCATGTGGCAAGCACCTGCTCCATCAGGCCTTTCTGGCATGAGCAATAATCTTGACCTGATGACTCCATCCTCATGACCTCCCAGAGTCTCCCTCCTGATACCATCTCCTCAGAGGTTAGGTTTCAACCCAGGAACTTTGAGGAAACACATATTCAGGAGATAACAGAGTTTTGTGTCCAAATATGAACAGTAGATATTTTGGAGTGGCTGCATTGAAGTCATGTATTTTTAAAATAAGTTTTTTATTGTGAAAATATTGTACAGAGGGATTACAGTTACATGAGCAAGATAATGAGTACATTTCTTATCAAGCATTGTTGCCTCCTTTGTTTTTCCCCTACCATCCCTTCCCTCCCATCTCCACAACTACATCCCCCCTCCACCGCCACCTAAATTGTAAAGTTCTCATTGAAAAGGACATAGCTAGCAAAATCAATAGAAAGCCCATGGATTGGGAAAAGATCTTCATTAGCCATACAACGGACAAGGGTCTCATATCTAAAATACACCTGGAACTCAAAAAATTAAATCCCCCAACAACAAATCCTCAAAGAAACAACTGCCCAATAAATAAGTGGGCTAAAGACTGAATGAGAAACTTCTCTGAAGAGGAAATAAGAATGGCCAATATAAACATAAAGAAATGCTCAAACTCTCTAGCCATAAAAGAAATGCAAATCAAAACATTGAGATACCACCTCATCCCAGTTAGAATGGCTATAATCAAGAATTCTAATAATAACAGATGCTGGAGAGGATGTGGACAGAAGGGAACCTTACTTCATTGTTGGTGGGAGTGTAAACTTGTTCAACCACTTTGGAAAGTAGTATGGAGGTTCCGCAAAAGACTCCACAGAGAGCTCCCTATGACCCACCAATCCCACTTTGGGGCATTTACTCGAATGATCACAAACAAGACCACACTAAAGCTATCTGCACAACTATGTTGTGCATTATTTACCATAGCTAAGATATGGAACCAACCCAGATTCCCCTCAGTAGATGAATGGATCAAGAAAATGTGGTATATGTACACAATGGAATTCTATGCCTCCACCAGAAAGAATGACATTGACCCATTTGTTAGGAAATGGAAAGGCTTGGAAAAAATTATATTAAGTGAAGTAAGCCAGGCCCAAAGAAACATAGGAACCATGGTTTCCCTTATTTACAATAACTAGTATATGTCTGAGACAAGCAGGAAAGGTCAGATAAGATGGTGTTAAGTGAAATGAACCACAAGATAAGGACACAAGTGTTTTTTTCTTCCTTGATATTGTTTCTAATGTATTTATTTAGGTACCATGTGATTGTTTTTTGTTGCTTTGTATGTCCCTCCCCCATGGCATAACCCCTGTTTTCACTGTATTTGATGATGGTATAATTTGGAGAGTGAAAGGGAAAAAACAAATCGTTTAAATAGGGATACAGGTTCACCAATGAGAAGTACAAGACACTATGTCGAAGTCATTTATTTTGTTCTGGTCACTTATCTGTGTTCTCCAAATGTTCTGTCAGGATAATGTGTCATGTTGTGAATAAAGGTGATTGTTGTACATTATAGACACTAATGAGAGAGATAATATTGTTGGAAGAGTTAAAAATGTCTTAGTCTTCATTTCAGAACAAAGAATAACACTGCAGACTGCTTCATTCAAGGCAGTTCTAAATACCAATAAATGAAATAACAGGTGCCTGGAGCAAG